TCTGTCTCTGCCTCTCACTCTCACTGTCTGTAACTCTACCTCTCAAATAAATAAATTTTAAAAAAATCTTAAAGAAAGAAAACCAAGAAATATACACCAGATTTCAACCACACTATTTAACGAATTGACCTAACAAATATTTACAGAAAATTTCATCCAACAATTATGCAACCCATATTCTTCTGATAAATACATGGAAGATTTTCTAGGATTGTCCATATATTGGGCAGGAAACTAAATCTCAATAATGTTTTAAAACTGCTTTATATCTTCTAAAACCACAGAGAAACAAAACTAGAAATCAACAAGAACAATGGAAAATTTACAAGCATACCAAAATTGAGCAACATGCTCTTGAATGACAAGTTGCTCATTAAAGGAATTTTAAAGAAATATTTTGAAACAATTGAAAATGAAAATTCAACATATCAAAAATACATATGGTATATGGAAATATTGTTAAGAGGAAAGTTTATAGCATTAAGTGTATACATTAAAAATAGAAATATTTCAAATAAATAGTCAAATGATGCATCTTAAAGACTTACAAGAGCAATAAAAAACACGAAAAAATTATTAGGACAGTAGAAACAATGAGGATCAGAGAAGGAATTCATTAAATTTAAACTAAGAAAACAATACAAAAGATCAACAAAAAGAAAAGCTGATTTTCAAAAAGTTGATTACAAGAGGCAAACATGTCAGAGAAACAATGAAAAAACTGAAATGAACAAAATTTGGCATGAAAAAAGAAACATTGCAACTGATAAAGTGCAATGGATCATAAGAAGCTATATGCTAACTAATTGGAAAAGCTTAGGAAGTGGATATATGACTGGATACAAGCAACCTAATAACATTAATTCAAGAAGATATAGAAAATTTACACAGACCAGTAATAAGCAATGATACCTAAATCTAAGCAGTAACAACATTTTTTCCTAACAAAGCAAAGTCCAGGACCTGATGGTTTTACAGCTGAATTCTACAAAAAGAGGAAAAAAAAAAAGAGGAAATAAATCTGGGAGCAGTGTTGCAGTGCGGTGGGTAAAACCACTGTCTGTGATGCCAGCATCCCTTATGGTGTTGGTTCGTGTTCCACTTCCAATCCATCTCCTTGGTAATGACCTGAGAAAAGCAGGGGAAGATGGCCCAATACTTGGACTTCTACCCCCGACCTGGGAGACCCAGATGAAACTCCTGGCTCCTGGTTTCAGCGTAGCCTATCCCCAGGCACTGTGGTCATCTGGAGAGTGAACTGGTGGAATGAAGATTTTCTCTCTCTCTCTCACTTGCAAATGAATCATTTTAAAAAAGAGGAAATTACTCAAATATGTTCTAACAATTCCAAAATATTGAAAAAAAATAGAACTCTGTCAAACTGTTTTTTAACACCAGTATTACTATGAAACCAAAACAAAAGAAGGATACAACACACAAAAAACTACATACTGATATCCCTGATGACCATAGATGCAAAAATTCTCAAAAATATTAGCAAGCCAAAACCAATACTACATCAAGATAATACATCATGTACAGGTGAGATTCATTCCAGGGATGCAAGGATATCTCAACATTCACAAGTCAACAAAGGTAATAGATGACACCAAAATGAATGAATGAAGAAAAAAAAAGCCATATGATTATATCTGTGGTGGAATGAGGTGAAAAGGTCATATCAAGATGGATGCTAGGCTAGAGCTGTGGCTCAATAGGCTAATCCTCCACCTTGTGGTGCCAGCACACCGGGTTCTAGTCCCGGTCAGGGCACTGGATTCTGTCCCGGTTGCCCCTCTTCCAGGCCAGCTCTCTGCTGTGGCCAGGGAGTGCAGTAGTCCTTGGGCCCTGCACCCCATGGGAGACCAGGATAAGTACCTGGCTCCTGCCAACGGATCAGCGCGGTGCGCCAGCCGCAGCATGCCAGCCACAGCGGCCATTGGAGGGTGAACCAACAGCAAAGGAACACCTTTCTCTCTGTCTCTCTCTCTCACTGTCCACTCTGCCTGTTAAAGAAAGGGGTATAAACAATAATCAAATGAAAAGATGTTTAACTCCTTTCAAATAATGCAAATTTAAAATAGTCACAGAATCATAAAAGTTATAGGGTCATAAAACCTAAAGCTAATTTCTCTAAGTTAACAGGGCAACAATATGGAACTATTGGAAACTATATGGAACTAATTGGAAAATGAATTTTTTAAAGATTTATTTATTTGAAGGTCAGAGTTATACAGAGAAGGAGAGGCAGAGAGAGAGAGAGAGAGAGAGAGAGAGAGAGAGAGAGAGAGAGATCTTTCATCTCTGGTTCACTCCCCAATTGGCCACAACAGCCAAGCTGCACCAATCTGAACTCAGGAGCCAGGCACTTCTATTGGGTCTCCCACAAGGGTGCAGGGGCCCAAGGATCTGGGCCATCTTCTGCTTTCCCAGTCCATAGCAGAGAGCTGGATGGGAAGTAGAGCAGCCAGGATCTGAACCGGCACCCACATGGGATGCCAGCACTGCAGGCAACAGTCTTACCCATTATGCCACAGTGCCGGCCACTGGGAAATTAAATTCTAAATGCTTACCTATATTTGAGTGCTTCTGGATTTTCTGTTCTTTCGTTCATTTCTTTCCAATTTTGAATAAATGATTAATTTGTGGAAATCAATACCTTGTCATATCTAGAAAGACAAGACTTTTTAAAAATAAATTACAAACATCATCACAACAGTAGAAGAGCATTTGTAACTCTAAAATTTGAAAACCTTGTGGTTTTGGTAAAGGCAATAAACATAAAGTACTAACATTTTGACAAAAATAAGCCTCCTTATCCATGAACACAGGGGCATCTTCTCACTGCAGTGCCCCCTCTTCAAAAATGCACACATCAAGTGAGGTGTGCACTGATATAACATGGATACTGGGATTTACTGAAAGACTGTTTTTAAAGACTTATTTATTTATTTTTATTTGAAGAGTTCAGAGTTATAGAGAGAGGGAGGGAGAGAGAGAGAGAAGAAAAAGACAATGAATGTGAATGCCTTTCAACCCCTGGTTCACTCTCCAAACAACTGCAATGGCTAAGGCTGAGCCAGGCCTAAGCCAGAAAAGAGGAGCTTCTTCCAGGTGTCCCATTTAGGACAGAGGGCCCCAGCACTTGGGCCCTCTTCCCCTGCTTTTTCCAGGCTGTTAGCTAGTAGAGAGACAGGTTTGGAAATGGAACAGCTGTACATGAACTGGCTTTACTTTCTTTGCCACAAAGTTGGCCCTTACTGAAATAATTTTTAGCCCAGAAGTTGACATAGGAAGTGGTTTTTGGATCATGTGCTTCTCTAAAATTGCACAACAATATGGCTTTTTAATTGTATATATTAAAAGGAAAATTCCATATAAATTTTGTTGGTACAGTCCCTCTCAAATGATAAATAAACGTCTATCAGTGGGAATTAGGAGTCCATGGGAATCAGCCAAGGTTCCGGTTCTGGGTTTGCTCCTCAGAAGGATGACCTGGGCACCTGGCCAAGAGTGACTCCCTCCTCACTCATGAAGGTAAGGAGCTCCCTCATCACTGAGGCTGTGTCCTCACAGACACCGCAACAACCCACCCACTTTTACCACCTCAGGATCCCAATCCTAGCGATCTAGACAGACCAAATGGTGTTCCCACAAGGTGGCCACAGGGCAGCTCCATGCTTTCCAGGCTCTACATTCAGTACAACTGCAGCAGAACAATGTCACTAAACACTAGTACATGGGCGCACCTCTCACAGCTGCAGGCTTGGTGCATGAACACTAAGGCCCAGGTGCCAGGTGGCTCAGGGAACATATGCACAATCCAGGGCTCACAAATCTTGAGGTTGCACTCACTCTGAGCCTAAGTGGGACTTGGCTGATTGTTGATGCTTGTTAGTAAAAGAAAAACTCCTTTGTGGAGAAGCAGTCTTTGTAATGCATTGGGACTCAAGTAGCAGGAAACTTCAGGATGCTTAAAGGCATTGCACCAAAGACAATTTCCTCAAAACATCTTTCTAAATTTCCTGATCCCTCACATCATCCCCTTCTCTGTCACTGTAGACCACATCTGGTTTCCATCAGAGTTTAGCTAGCAACCACAAATGACTACTTTTGTGATTTCAGAAAGTGTGGTTGTATGTGTCATCGAGTGTAAACCTAGGAGGCAAAAGGGTTTCACACTTTCCAGAAGACATAAAAGCACATTTATGCAGATCTCCAATATTTACTCCAGCCTTATAATTGTTTTATGATTTTTTTTTTACATTTTACTCCCAATTTCATCTTTAATCGAACCACAGTTTATTTGGAGTATTTTGTAACTATTAAAAATTTTAAAAATAGCTTTTCACTTATTCCAAATAGTTCATCATTTTTCAGAATTCAAATATCACTTTATCTTTCCTTATGCTTAAACCAGGAGACAGAAACTCTATTTTGGTCACCCGCATGGGTGATAGGATCACAAGCACTTAGGGCATAATCTACTGCCTTCCCAGGTAATGGACAGTAAAGAGTAGCCTATATTCCTATATGGAATGCCGGTGTGCCAAGCAATGCCTTATACCTGTCCTCAAGTCTGATTTTTTATAAAGACTATTTTTGATATGAATTGAAGAGAGGAAGATTTCCCATATACTAGCTCACTCCTCAACTACTCTCAAAGGCTAAGGCTGGGCCAAGGCAATGCTGTGAGATGAGATGGTAGCCCAGGTTCTCCCACAGGGAGGGCAGACATCTCACTACTTAAGTCATCACATTTTGCCTACCAGGATGCACATTTGTAGGCAGCATGAATCAGGACAAGAAAAGAGTCAAATCTAGGCAGTTCAATGTGATGCTGGCTTCACAACTGCTATCTTAATGGAGAGACCAAAGACCCACACCCAACAATAAAAATATTACATGAACTTTTTGAGTAACCCTTCTGTATAAGAATCTAAAAAATGAATTTCACAAAAATATGTAAATATTTAAGTTTATTTTCCATTAACTTTCAGAAATTATGGAACAGCTGGTTACATGACAATTTGCAATATTGGCATCTTATATAAAGAGCCAATTCAAGAACAATGTTGCTCTGATTCTGACCTATGTTCCTGTTTATGAACCTGGGAAGGCAGATGAAGCTGGCTCAAGAGATGACCTGCATGGAATTACTGGGTCCTGGCATTGGCCTATACTGGACCTGGATTTTGGCCATCTGAGGAGTGAAGCAATACATAAAACTGCTCTTTTTCTCTACCTCCCTCTCCCTATATCATTTGGTCACTCCTTCCCTCTGCTCCACCTTTCAAAGAAAAATTAATAACTATTTTTTCATGCTTTGTTGTTGTTAGTCTTATTAAATTATGTTAATAGCCCTATTTTAATATTATTTAAGGGATGTAAATTTCATGCCATTAATATGTACAAATTTAGGAACTTAATGATAATTATAACCCTACCTCCCTCCCACCTATATTCCCATCTTTCTTCCTCCTCCCTCTACCACTCCCATTTTTATTTTTTACAGAGACCTCTTTTCAATTAACTGTATACTCATAAGATTAACTAGACTAAGTAGAAGGATCAACAATAGTGTGAAGAAAAAAACATAAGAAGCAGAAAAGAAACAAAAAGCAATGTTCCTCAATAGTCAAGTTAGGACTGTTCAAAATCATTGCATGATAAAGTGCCAATTTCACTCCCATAGATTACCTTTTAGGTACTATAGTAGTTAGCACAGATCAGAGAGAATATATGGAATTTGTCTTTTTGGACTGGCTTATTTCACTAAGTATAATGGTTTCAAGTTGCAACCATTTTGTTTCAAATTACAGGTTTTCATTTTTTAGCAATGCATGATATTCCATACTGTGTGTGTATATAAATACATATATATATATATATATATATATATCATAATTTCTTAATCCAGTATTCAGTTGATGGACATCTGAGTTGATTCCATATCTTAGCTATTATACATTGAGCTGCAATGAACATGAAGGTACAGATAACTCTATAATACACTGATTCATTTACTTTGGATAAATTCTCAAAAGTGGGATGGCTGGTTCATATGCTAGGTCTATATACAGCTTTTGAGGTATCTCCACACTGTCTTCCACAGTGGCTGCACCAGTTTACATTCCCTTCAAGAGTGGATTAGTGTACCATTTCCCCACATCCTCACAGGCATTTGTTGTTTTATGATTTCTGTATGAGAGTCATTCTTTTTTAAAAAGATTTATTTATTTGAAAGTCAGAGTTACACAGAGAGAGGAGAAGGAGAGGGAGAGGGAGAGAGAGGGGGAGAGAAAGGGGGAGAGGAGAGGGAGAGAGAGAGGGAGAGAGAGGTCTTCCATCTGCTGGTTCACTCCCTAACTGGCTGCAATTGTTGGAGCTAAAGTGATCTGATCTGAAGCCAGGAGCCAAGAGATTCTTCCGGGACTCCCATACCAGTGCAGGGGCCCAAGGACTTTGGCCATCTTCTACTGCTTTCCCAGGCTTTAGCAGGAAGCTGGATCAGAAGTGGAGCAAATGGGACTCGAACCAGTGACCATATGTGATGCTGGCCCTGCAGGTGACAGCTTTATCTGCTATGCCACAAAGCAGGCACCTCCATTCTCTCTTTCCACACCTTCAGGACCTCCTAATTCATATATATGGATTATTTGATAGTATCCATACATCTCAAACAGTGTTTTTATGCTTTTTAATTTCATTTGTTCTGGTATGACTGAATTATTTCCAAAGATTTGTCTTCTAGCTTGGATAGTCTTTCTTTTTCCTCTCCAAATCTGTTGTTAAGGCTTTCTACTGCATTTTTATTTAATCTATTGAATTCTTCATTTCTAATATTTCATTTTGATTTCTCTTTAAAATCTCAATTTCATGTGAAAAATTTTCATTCATGTCACATATGGTATTCTTTAGCTTGTGGATTTGCTTCTGACTACTTTTGAGTAATCCTATGACTAATTTTTTGAATTGTTTTCATCATTTCATCCATTTCTTGACCTTCACATTCTATATTGAAAAATTGTTGTGTTCCTCTGAAGGGCCATGATGTCTTCCTTATTCTCATTTCCTAATTTTCTACATTTATTTTTAGGCTCTTGTGGAGGTAATTGCTCTTTTTTTGTTTCCTCTGATGAGTTGTATCTTTGAGCTATGCCTATGTGCATTGTCTGTACTTTCAGTGAATACCAAGAGGTGTATGACGGATGTTTCCAGGGACCTCTGTTCAGTGCTCTAGAGTGGGGTGAGTATCCAGAGTAACAATCAAGTTGGGTTTGGTAACTCTCCTCTTATTAACAGAAGTGGAGGGAGGATGGTCACGTTTGTTGGTGTGATCAGCCTCTCACCTCTTTCCCTCCAAGCTGAGTAATGCTCAGGTGTTTGTCCCCAGTGTCTTCAACACTCATCTGCACTTCTGGATGAACCACACAAATGATCTGCATAGTCCTCTCTGTGAGCATGATTCCTGCTACAGGGATTTGCCCTGGCAACCAAAGAGTTTTCAGCATGTGACTCTGCATCCAGAGCTTGCCCAGACCCAGGCTACACCTTGCCTCCTCCCAGGCAGTCACAGTGTTTTCACAGTCTCAGCACCCAGCGCTCCCATGGTCAAGGGCTGTAAGAGGGTGCACTCTGCCCTGCTAGCCTGTTCTGTCTACACAGTGACTGGGGAGTTCACGGAGCCACTGCCCATGTATTCTACCCTGGCAGATGGAGCCTCTCAGCCAGACTGAAAGTGGAGAATGTGAATGTTTCCCTCTGGCAAAATCCTTGGGTGATGTGTATATACAATACCTGCTGGCCACAGCCCCACTCCTTTCACAGTTGTGCTGGGTGTGTACAAACATCCCCACTGGCAGCATTTCCCTTTGTTTAGATTCTCCTCCAAGCCTATTGCAGTTTGGGCATGGAAGAATTGGTGTTTACCTGATGACAAGGTGGAGACAGTGACCACCAATTTACTTAAACAACAGTGTTTGCCCCTGCCGACAATTCTTGCTAGTTGCTGGGTATGCACAGAAGAGCTGGAGCAGCTGCTACTTGCTTATGTCCCAAATGGCATCAGCCTTCCCACAGCTAGCCACAGGGCACTGCTATGAAGTGGAGAGAAGGGAAGAGAGAGATGCATCACTTTTTTATTCCTCCCCTCAAGGTGAGCAGTTGCCTTGCTCCCATGAAGTTTCCCAGTTGGACTCAAAGACAGTGCAGTCCACTAGCTTTCCCTCCATCTGTATTAACAATTGTGCAGGCCCATGCAGTTTGACTGTACTTTGTTCACCAGAGTGGACTCTAGGTCCTTTTTCATGTTCATGCCTGTTGCTGAGCCTTCCACTCAGTTCCAGGCCATTTCCATTGCTTTTGCAGGACTTCCCACTGCAGTTTTCTCTGCAACTTTCTCCTGAGAGTACTTTCTCTACTTTTTTTTTTCCTTCTAACTTTGCCTAGTGTAGAGCACACCTTCTTGTCACTATTTTACCATTGTGCAATTAAATTAACAATGCAATGCCTGTAATGCTCACTGATACAATGGTTCAAGATGAAAAGAAAAGGGGAGCCAAAGAGGATCTGAAATATTTCTTTTTTTTTTTTTTTTGACAGGCAGAGTGGACAGAGAGAGAGAGAGACAGAGCGAAAGGTTTTCCTTTTGCTGTTGATTCACCCTCCAATGGCTGCTGTGGCCAGCGCGCTGCAGCCGGCTCACCACGCTGATCCGATGGCAGGATCCAGGTACTTATCCTGGTCTCCCATGGGGTGCAGGGCCCAAGCACTTGGGCCATCCTCCACTGCACTCCTGGGCCATAGCAGAGAGGAGCAACTGGGACAGAATCCGGCGCCCCGACCGGGACTAGAACCCAGTGTGCCGGCGCCGCAAGGCAGAGGATTAGCCTAGTGAGCCACAGTGCCAGCTGAAATATTTCAAAATCAGGTGTGTCATACAAGCCAATCCCAAGAAAAGCCTACCAAAGATTTAATGTAATTCCAAACAATAAATAAACTTGTATTTTTGCTGGAATATACACTATTACTGTGACATTCCTAATTACATGTGTTTTTTATAAAGTAATAAGCAGGGTCAAGTATTGTGATGCAGCACTTGGGACTCAGACATCCCATATAGCAATGCCAGTTTGAGTTCTGTCTGTTTTGCTTCTGAGACAGCTCTCTGCTAATGTATCTGGGAAACAGTGGATTTAGGAACACTTTAGAATTCCAAAGTGACAGCAGTTCAAGTCTCCAAAATCTTGAAGACATTATTCATGGCTGATTTCTTTATACTAAAGCATGACCATCATGTGGGCAACATTCTTTTATTTGTTCAAATTGAAGTAAAACAAAACAACACTTCATATGAAAGGAACATACATAATAAAATGAATGTTATTTTTCTTCTTATTTCATAAATTTTATGTTTTCTCATTAAAAATACACTCAATCATTTTCCAATTTCAGCCATGCAAAAATTAAGCCAATTCTCCCAAATCCATTACCAGAAAATAATGTTTTGCAATGAAGAAAAACATTTTTGAAGGATCTGAATTTTGACTTAATGTGAAACAAGTTCTCATTGTTTTATTTCTCAAATTTAGAAAGAACCTCTCACATCTGGATACTATTTTTTTCAGGTACCAAGCCACTGGCAGGATCCATCAGTAGGAATGCTTTTTAATCACAGAGAGAAGAGATGGTTAACATTTACAAAGCATATTCTACTCTTCTTCCAAGCAGAAAAGATGGACAGGGCAATGTGAACAAATCACTCAGGTGGCATTTCTAATCTCCTAGTGCCTCCCTCCAACACTGAAGTCTGGTGTTCACTGAATTTATACAAGATGAGCAGTGCAGCCACCTGAAGGCGAGGAACAGTAGAAACCTGCAGGGGACAATTCTGGACTGGAAAGTCCAAGATGGGTAGCCTGAGCATAGATGGCCCTACAGTGGTCTGGGGGTTGGGTGTGAGCCAGGCAGGGTTAAATGCAGTGTTTAGAGGCCCCTGAGAAAGATCTAGTGACAAGCCAGGGTGACCAGGAGGTGCAGAGTTTCTGGACTTTGTGAAGGATTGGAAATTCTCTGCAAGAGCAATGGAATGTCACTTAAAGTTTTGAACTTCAATGCTAAATGTGAGAGCCCAGTACACCATGTGTAAGCATTCCCCCTGCCATTGAATGTCAACCTGACAGCCTCTACCATGCCTCCTCGGAGCAGAAAGTGTCTGTTGTAATCCTAAACTGGACAGTGGTGAATAATCTGGAAGTGGCCTTCAGCATCCTTCTTCTCAGGGTTCCTAGTCAGGAATGCATGGTTGTCTGCTGGGTGCC